CGGCTTTGGCACTGGCTGGCTTGGAGTTTGGGGGGCTGGGGCTCCTGTCACCCAGCCTGATGGGACAGCAGCTGGGGGCCGAGCCCAGCTGCGGGCAGGAGGCGCAGCTCCCCTGGAAGGCCTCCTGTGGGACGGCCGTACAGGACCGGGCACTCTGACGGCACCAGGAAGAGGCTTCTGGAATCCCGTGGCCTGGCAGGCAGAGGTGGGGCCAAGCGCTGCCTGGGACACCTGCCGTCCGACACGGGCCACTCCCCCTCCCCCTCAGTGGGTATAATTAGCCTCATGACAGGTGCCATGGATCGAGTGCCTGGCCCGGCCTCAGCTGACCCGCTGCACCCACCAGTCCCGCCTCTGGGCCCGAACCCCAATCTGCAAGGTCCCCTGAGGCCTCAGGCCCTAATTAACTTCCTCCGAACTCCTGAAACACTTACCAGGATGGATGGGCCATCAGCGCTTCCCTGGCCACAGGTCCCAGGAGCCCCAGGCCAGCCCACCCCTGCCTCGTGCGTGCCGGGGCCAGCGGGCCTCTGCGCCGTCCCCACGGCAGCCCCAGCGCCGCCCTGTCCCCAGCTGTGTCTCTTCCTCCTCCAGTGCAAGAAGAAGCACACACTGCTGTGCCCAGACTTCGCTCGCAGTGGCGTGTGTCCCCATGGCGCTCAGTGCCAGTTGCTCCACCGGAACCAGAAGCGCCCTGGCCGCCGGGCCACCGCACCCCCTACCCCCGCCCACAGCGACGGCGTCCCAAGGAGCAGGGCCTCATCCGGCCATGGATCCAGGTGGTGGGACAGTGGGTGTGCGTGGGTGAGCTCGGGCTGGCCATCCCCCAGCACGCCGGGCTTCACGTCTAAAAGGATCCACAGAGGTGAAGGATTTAGCTTGTGGAGGAGCACTGGCCTAGCAAGGCGAGGCCCTGAGTTTGGTCCTCAGCACCAAAAAAAAAAAACTGAAAGGAAGTGTTAATTGTACAAGCCTGGTACCAGTGGCTCACACTGTCATCCTAGCTACTCAGGAGGCTGAGATCTGAGGATCGCAGTTCAAAGCCAGCTGGGCAGGAAAGTCTGTGAGAGTCTTTTCTCCAATAAACCACCAGAAAACTGGAAGTGGCGCTGTGGCTCAAAATAGTAGAGCGCTTGCCTTGAGCACAATAGCTCAGGGACAATGTCCAGATTCTGAGTTCAAGCTCCAGGACTGGCAAAAATAAAAAGAAAGTCAGAGGGGGAGATGCCCATCCCTGCCCACTTGCATGCCTGGAGCCAGGTGAGGAGCACCCACAGTCCAAGACTAGCAGAGCCAAGGCATCAGCAACCCATGGAGGGAGGCGGGAGCTTTCCACGGTCCCTTCCCAACAGAGAAGGAAGCCTGGGAGGACTTAAAGGGGCTCCTGGTCCTGGCCGCCCCGGTTCAGCCCCTCAGCCAAAGCTCGGGCCCAGAGCTGGGCTTGGCCTTGGGCAGCGGTGCCTGGGGGCAGGTGGGGGCCAGGGACGCCGTGTGGGACAGATGTCCCCAGCTCCGCATCCCGCAGCTTTCCCGAAGGTCAGCGCCCTCACTTCTGTCCTCTCTGCTTTCCTGCAGGAAGTCCTCCGCTACTCAGCGCCCTGCCAGGCAGACGCCCAGCTCCCCGGCCCCCCGGGCACTGACCCCGGCTTCTAGGGCCCTCGCTTCGGCCTCCCTGTCATCAAAGGCCGCCGCCTCCTCCTCCCCCTCCTCCGGCTCCCCCTCCCTGTCGTTGGGGCCGGAGGAGCCGAGCCTCCTCCAGGAGGAGGCCTCTGCCGTGGGCAGCCTCTGCAGACTGCCTTCCTTCATCTCCCTGCAGTCCTCCCCCAGCCCAGGCGCTCACGCCAGGCCTCAGACCCCCAGGAGCCCCGCTGCCAAGGACTCAGGTGAGAGCCGGTCTCTGCGAGGCCCACCAGCACCACACACGGCTTTACTTAATGTCTTCTCTTGGAACAGTAGCAGGGTCTGAACTTGGAACCTTGGATTTGCTAAGCAAGCTCTGCTGTTTGAGTCCTCAACTAGTCACTTTCTGCATTGCTTCTTTTCTCTTCTTCTTTTTTTTTTTTTAATTTGGTGCCAGTCCTGGGGATTGAACTCAGGGCCTGGGCGCTGTCCCTGAACTCTTTTGCTCAAGCCTAGAGCTCTACCACTTGACCACAGCTCCACTTTAGCTCTTCTGGTGATTAGTTAGAAATAAGTCTCACTGACTCTGCTGCCCAGGCTGGCGCTGGGCTGTGCCCCTCAGCCCTCAGCCTCCCGAGTCACTGGGATGACGAGCGTGAGCCACCAGCGCCGGATTGCAGCAGTTATCTCAAAACAAGGTCTCACTTTTTCCCTGGGCTAGCCTGGACTCTAATCCCAGCCGTTGTTGAAATAAAGTCTTGCACGCTTTTATGCCCAGGCTGGCCTCAAGCCATGATCCCCTGATTTCCCCTTACAGGCAACTAGGATTATAGGCCTGGCCACAGAGCCCAGACGCAGGAGTCTTTAAATGCCCACCTCAGACCTTCCAAGTAGGGCCTGCAGGTGGCCTGGTGACTCAGGGCACACGTGTGCACACCTGTGAGGGGGGCGGGCCAGTGAGGGGCCCGTGAGCAGTGGCTGCCGCGCAGACCACCCCAGTGAGGGCTGATTTAATTAGAAAGCACCCATTTCTGTTAATTTGTTCTGGAAGAGCACCGCGCACTCCTGGAGAGAACAGATGTTCCCTCTCCCCGATGAGCGTTTGGGGCTTGGTAAATGGCTCCACTCAGCCTTGTTTAGGAGAGAAAAGAGGATTTTATAGCTGCAAACGACCCTTTCTGTAAACATTTTACAGCTCTCCGCGTGTTTGAGTGACGATAAACCCCACGCAGCTCGGCGGGCTGCAAATTTGCGACCATACGGCTATCATTTTATTGTCATATTTCACGGTCGTAACGTTAATGGAAGATGCTGCAGGGTTCTCTAGCGGCCGCTCTCGATCAGGCACCGGTTCCGAGGGGCCGCCTCCTGCTGGCAGCCTCCTCCGGGGTGCGGAGCTGCATCCAGGCCGCACTGGACAGGCTGGACTGGCTGGAGCGCCAGCTCCTCCCATCCAGGTGGAGCACAGCAGCTGAGGGCCTGAAGCGCTGCTGTGTGTGGAAGATGAGAAACCCAGCACCTAGGCCCGGGGGCAGAGGGGCACAGGGTGTGCCGTCCCGTGTGGGTGCCGGGCAAGCTGGTGAGGCCACTAGAACTGGCGCCGGCCTGGCCAGAGGACACTGGAGGGCAGGAAGCCGGCTGTGCCTTTGTACGTAGTTCCTGGCACAGAGGAAGGCGTGGGCAGGAACCGGCCAGCCTGGGCCTGGCCTGTCCAGGTAGAGCAGCCCCTTCCCCCTCGGAGGAAGGTCTTATGGGGAGATGGAGTGGCACCGTGCTGTGGCAGCCCCTCTGGCGTAGCCGTGCCAGCAGGATGCTGTGGCTCCTGGGAGGGTGGTGGTGGCGGGAAGGGGTCGGGGGGAGGAGGGGGTGTCCCCCCGGGGCCCTGCTCGCCAGGGTCCTGCTCCAGGATCCTCCCCACCACCCTGCCTGCCTCTGTGCAGCGGCGCCCTGCCGGCCCCCTGCGCACACAGCCTGCCTCCCAGATGGAGGGCACGGCGCCCCCTCCCGTGCGTCTGACAGCCTTGCTCCCAGTGTGAGCACCCGCGTGCCCGTGTGCTCCATGCAGGGCTGCGCCCAGGCAGGCCCCAGGCCGCCTGTCCAGGGCCTGGGTGCGGTGGCGCTACAGACAGGCAGCTCACGGACAGGCCACGGAAGGCCCCGCCCAGCCTGGCGTCCCTGTATCTGACCTCTGCCCCCTCCGTACAGGGAGACCACTGCACATCAAACCACGGCTGTGAGGCCTCGGGACCAGCTTGCACCTACCTCAGACCTTCGCGCTGGACAGGACGGAGGCTCTGCCCCCACGGGGGCTGTCCACCCCCGGCTGGGTGCCCACACCAGGCCACAGCACTGCCCACCTGGCTCTCGACCTTCTTTAACCTGTGTGCACCTAGGGCTCTTGCCCTGCCCTGGCCAGGCTCCCAGCCTCCCCTCCCGCTGGGCCTGCGGCTTCACATCCAGGACTTGCTCCCTACCCTGTTCCTTGGGGTGCCAGGCAGGCCTCACCCCAGCCTGTTCTCTGCCATGACTGTGGCATCAGCTGTAAGACAGGTATCCCCAGCCTTCCCCACCCAGGACTCCTGCCAGGAGAGGAGGCCGCCAGCCAGGCCCCTGTGGTGGGCATTTTACATTCAGCAATAAATGTTATCCTGTGTCTGATTGGCCCTTCCTGACCCTCGCCACACCTCAGGGCCCCGGACCTACGCGGGAGCACGGCCAGCCAGAAGACACGGCCTTCGGCAGCGCAGGGGCCTGCTCCCCCCGCCCCAGGCGGCTCCGAGCACCGGCCTCGCGCTGTGGCCATCCCCACGCCGGCCCTCCTCCCGGGCAGGGGAGCGGCGGGCAGGGAGGGGTCCTGTCACCAGTGTGGCAGGGTGGCAGCAGGACTGGCCCGCAGGGGCGGCCGGGGCTGTGCGCCGCTTCCTGGGGGCACTCGGAGGTGGGAGGTGGGCTTGTTCCCGTGCCAGCCCCGCGAGTCCTCGCCTCGCTCACTGTGGCCCTTGGGCTCTCCGTGCCCGCCACGGCCTGAGTCCTCAGGAAGGAGGCAGAATCGTGGCCGCCCCTTAGCCACTGCGGTCCAGGCGCTCACAGGGAGAGGGCACCCTGCTGCCGCTCGATGGGAGATACCGCTGGCGGAGCTGGGGGCTCAGCTGCACCCTGACTTGCTCCTGAGCATGGGGCCGTCAGGAGCCCCCTCCCCCACAGCAGACCCTGCCCTCTGTGCCCCCCCCCCCCCCCCCCGTGCCCTAAGCAGAGAGCTTAGCCGCAGGTCCGGTGGCCACATGCTAGGCCCTGGCGGCCCCTGCCCCTGCCCGGCTTCTGATAGCTGTAGCTGCTTCTCCGCAGTTGGCCTTGGTTCAGGCTTCCTACGTGGGTCTATCATGCTTGGCGTGGGTGCTCGGGCGGTGGCGGCTGCAGAGGGCGCGGCCGACCGCCTGCTCCCGGTGCAGCCTCTTCACCAAGCAGCAGGCAGCCCCCGGCAGCCTCCCGCGCACCGCGCACCCGAGGGGCGGGATACGCACAGGCTGGGGACCCCTCGCCAAAGCAGCTAGCAGGCAGGCCCAGGAAGGACTGCACTGCCGTCTATAAGAAGCTGCAGAGGACTCCTGGTTCACCATTGCCCGGAACTTGCCGGGTGCCTGATGCAGCCCGGCTCTGCTCAGCGCTGGGTTCTCCCGGCACCCACTCGGGGCTCGCGTGGCAGAGGGCAGCGGGCACTGCCCCGGGGCCCGGGAATCGTCCGTCTCCAGCCCTGCAGGAATCCTGAGGATGTGACAGGCAACCTGGGCCTGTGGAGACCTGTCACCTCCAGGACAGACGTGGGCTGCCGCAGATGACCAGAGCCATGATGGGTGGGCCGAGGGCTGCGCCTCCCAGGAGGGGCCAGCAGGTGGCCAGGCTCCCTGCCCAGGAACGACCGACCGGGCATGCTCCCCCAGCTGATTGCCCACGGGGGTCCTGAGACCCCAGGCAGAAGCAAGCAGGGGCTCGGCGCTCGCTGGAAGCAGGGACTGCTGCCTCCCAGAGGGATGGCTACCTGGGGCAGGGCAGGACGGGAGGGCCCAGGAAATAGGATTGGGGCGGGGGCTGGATCTCGGGACCTGCCCTCGCCTGGGAGGGGCAGTGTCCTGGAGGGCCCTGCCTGCCGGTCTCTGGCCACCCTGTGCAGTCATGCAGACCCCAGCTCAGCTGGCTCAGGGGCTGGAGCCTCACTGGGTCACCAGGCTGGCCTCTTGGGCCCTTCGGGGGGCCTGGCATCCAGATGGCTCCTAAGTGCTAGGGCGGGAGAGGATGGCTGTGGATGCCCCAGAGCCCAGGGGGCCACCACTTTTTTATTGTTGTTGCTTGTGGGGCTTGAACTAGGGGACTGGACGCTGTCCCTGAGCTCTTTTGCTCAAGGCTAGCGCTCTGCCACTTTGAGCCACAGCGCCACTTTGGTTTTCAAGCAGTTCATTGGAGACAAGAGTCTCACAGGGACTTTTCTGGCTTTGAACTGTGATCCTCAGATAAGAGTCTCCTGATGAGCTAGTCTGACAGGCCACTGGCACCCAGCCACTGCTGCCTTTTTCATGTAAACAAGCCCAGGGTGGGTCTGCCAAGAGGGGCAGGGGCGGGGTGCTGGGGCTGGGCAGCCCCCCTTAAGGCAGGCTCCCCAATCCCTTCCCCTTGCTAAGCCCTGGGTTAGTGTGACTGGACAGCCACAGCCAGTGTGTCTCTGAAATCAAGCGGCAGAAGTGACCCCCGGCGTCCAGGTGTGGAGCTCTGCCTGATGCAGTGTGCAGGGTGATGTTTCTTCTGCCAGACTTCAAGCAGACCATAACCTGTAATCCGCCTCTCATCCTAGCTACCCAGGAGGCTGAGATCTGAGGATAGGGGTTCGAAGCCAGCCTCGGACAGGAAAGTCTGAGACTAGGTAAGTTGGGGCTGAGCGGCTCTGCCTCCCACGTGGGTCTCCACTGTGCGTGGCAGGCAGCAGTTCGGAAATAAACTTTTCCTGCCAGAATACCGCGTGGTGTTCCCTTCATTGGCAACCTAAATGCACACCAACACTGAGTTCAAGGTCCAGGACCACACACGACAGAACTGTGGCAGGTCAGTCCGCCTGTGGCCTGGGCCCTGTGCTGGGGCTGCGTCCCTGAGTGCCGTCCAGTGTCTGGAGACGCTGAGCTCAGGCCCCAGCGAGCAGCGCCCAGGGCAGTGAGGAGGAGGGAGAGCACCGTCCTCCCCACGGCCCAGGCCCCCACAGCAGAGCACCCCTCCTTCCCGCGGGCTGGTGAGGGCTGCATGGAAGGAGAGCGGCCTGCTCAGGCCAAGAGCCCTAGAGAGGTCTGAAGCGAGAGCTGACGCTGAGCCTGTTCGCTCACAGAACAAAGCCAGGTTCAGAGCCAAGGGGAAACAGATCCAAACACAGAGCTGCTTCACCGGGGCCCCCAGTCCCAGCCAGAGCCCCAGTGCCCCTCCTGCTCCCCTGCTCCCCCTGCGCTGGACACCCCGGTCAGTCCTCACTGTCTGCACGGCCGCGGGGCTCTCCCCTCCTTCCCTGTGCCAGGTAGGCCTGCGCCAGCTGCTCCCTCTGCCTGGGGGCTCTTGTGCCAGCACGCACGCGCCTGTGCGCACATGCACACCCACACCCATGTACTGCCGCGGATGCGTGAAGGGTGGCGGCGTCTGACAGGGCTGGGTCCAGTGTGCTCAAACATCCAATTTTACAGCCCTTGGAAGCCTAGAAGTGGGTCCTGGTAGCTGGGTGGCCACTAGAGGCTGCCCAGCCTCACAGCACGTGCTGGGACATCTGGCAAGAAGAGGCACTGAGCCCCGGAGAGCCACCGAGCCTGGGCATAGTCTGGGGCCAGAAGCTTGGCCCCCCCCATGAATGTACTCACTGGCTGAGAGCAGCCGGAAGCTCTTCCAGCCCTCCCTCCCTAGCCCTTCCTCCGCAGCCGCCCCCAGCAGCGGCCTAGAAGATAGGTCACACCACACCTGGTGTCCTTCCCAGTGTGCCCAGGCCCCATGGGAACAGGGCTGGGGGTCATGTGGGGTCCTCCGGGCCTGTCCCTGAGCTGCTTTTGCTCAAGGCTAGTGCGCTACCACATGAGCCACAGTGCCACTCTGGCCTTTTCTGTGTATGAGGTGCTGAGGAATGGAACCCAGGGCTTCATGCATGTTAGGTAAGCGCTCTACCACTGAGCCACTTCCCAGCCCCTACCAGCCACATCCTTGTACCCAGAGTCCTGAGCCATGTGTTCCACAGTGAGGGCAGGGCCTTGGAGCCCGATGCCAGATAAATTCCAAGCCCAGAAAGTCTGGCCTTCCAGAGCCTCAGGAAGCCCAGAGTTGTGGGAGGGTAAAGGGGAGCAGAGCGCTGTAAGACACTCGGGAGGTGGTACGATGGCAGGTACGTGAATGCTTGGGCTGGCAGGCAGGTGCTCTGCCACTTGAGCCACAACTCCAGCTCATTTTTTGTTGGTCGTGGGGATTGAACTCTGAGCCTGGGCGCTGTTCCTGCCCTCTTCATCTCAAGACGAGCGCTCTACCACTTGAGCTACAGCACCACTTCTGGTTTTCTAGTGGTTTATTGGAGATAAGAATCTCACAGACTTTCCTGCCTGGGCTGGCTTTGAACTGTGATCCTCAGACCTCAGCCTCCTGAGGAGCTAGGATGACAGGTATGAGCCACTGGTGCCTGGCTCCGGCTCTTTATCTCGATTGTGTGTGTGTGTGTGTGTGTGTGTCACAAGTACTGAGGCTGGAAGTCAAGGCCTGGGCACTGTCCCTTAGCTTTTTCACTCAAGGCTGGCACTGTACCATTTGAGCCAAATCTCCACTTCTGTTTTTGTGGTTGTTTAGTTGGAGATGAGACTCTCTTGGATTTGTCTGCCGGGGCTGGCTTCAAATGGAGGTCCTCCGATCTCAGCCTCCAGAGTAGCTGGAATTACAGGCGCGAGCCGCCAGCGCTTGGTTTGGTTCCTTTGCGGGAGGGAGGCTGGGCTGCCGGCCTCCGCCTCGTGCCTCTAGGTGCCACGGACGGCGGGGCGGCAGGTGGCTGCTACGCTGCCCAGTCTCTGAGACGACGTCTCTGGAACCTTCCTTCCCCGGCTGGCTCCAGCCCGCCCTCCGGGCTCCACGTCCGTCTCCCAGGTAGCGGGGATCACAGCTTGAGCCGACCTCGCCCAGGCCCCATGTTAAACCCATCGCAGTCAGGCAGCCGCGCAGGGCTGGCGGGCCCCGGCCCGGCGCGCGGGT